TGCAGCTTCTGGCAGTCCTACCAGGTCCAGGTCCTAAGATACTAGGGCCCCCAGCACTTTCTCCTCCGGCTGCTTCGCCTCTTAGCCCACGAGGTAATTAACCTGTCTCAAATTTCACCCAAAACGTCTCTGTTTTGTGGCTAGAGGATTTATTTAATTTTTCCTACTGAAATAATTTTAATAATTTCATCCGGATTGTTTTTTACTTGCAGCTTCTGGCAGTCCTCTACCAGTCCAGGTCCGAAGATACTAGGGCCCCCAGCACTTTCTCCTCTCGCTGCTTCGCCTCTTAGCCCACGAGGTAATTAACCTGTCTTATAAATTTCACCCAAAAGTCTGTTTTGTGGCTAGAGGATTTATTAATTTTTTCCTATTGAAATAATTTAAATAATTTCATCCGGATTTTTTACAAGGTATAAAAAAAAAAAAACCTCTGTGATCATCAAAGTTCTATAAAAACATCAAAGAGTCTCATTTTAAGCAATCTCACAGGAGAAAATGAAATAAACACGTATCCAAAGCTTGAAAAGTAACAAATGTTATCATTTTGTTCAGCTTCCACAAGCAGCATTTGCTCCACCACCATCGGACGAACTGGCAACTCCACCAGAGGAATCAGAAGCCCCACAACACCCACCAGAATCAGGCCAGTCTTCACACCACCGTCATCTACGTCCGCCTCCTTCCACCCAACATCCCACCAGCAATTGCTACTACTTAGGAATCTTGATTTTCTACGGTTATTAAATTTCTTCCAAAGTATTCCAATCGCTTTAATGTGTGAAAATTCTGCAGTTCATCAGTTGATGATTTATGATAAGTAAATCGAATTTGGCAAGCCTTCTCTTCCAAAGTGTTCACAAACCTAAAAAATCTAACAGGTTTAAATTCTCTAGTTTCGGTTCATGCAACTGCTTTAGGCAAATTGCTCAGGAAAATGAACAGAATTGGTGGGTGCGCCAGGCCGAGCAGTAGTGCAACGCAAAGGCGACACTCGAGGGCTCCAGTGGCAAGCCCTGTAGTGAACCCTCCCCCTAAAAAATAAATTTAATATCATGTGGGACAGTCCACGTATCAGATATTAAACTGATAAGAAACGATACTACACTTGATCTTAGCCAAAAGGCCGAGAAAGGTAGAGTTGATCAGGGAAGGCGCCTATTTATAATCATTTCCTCGGCCCGCCTTTCTTCTCTCACACCATGTGGGAAGGTGGGACTTTGAAATCAGTCAGCTTACTTCAAATAAGTATACTGAATTGCGTGTCATTATTGAGCAAATCAAAACTCTTTCTAAATTTTATATTAAATTAAACACACATTTTATTCTAAATTTTTATCAATACACTAAAACCTTTATAGTCATAATAATGAGATAATTAATTTTATTACTACAAGGAGGTTATGACTTAATAGAGGTGTAGTAGTAGTATAGTATTAGAATTTCAATTCAACATTCAATTGTCTACTTTTAAAACGGATAAAAGCTAATCTTGAAACCAGCAAGATAAGTGTCCTTGATGGAATATAAATGCAGTTGCTGCATGACCAAATTGATGTGAAGCCACAAACTCTTGCAGTTGTTTTAATCATTACAAAATTATGCAACAAATTGATGTGAAATCACTACTATTGCCAATTGTTTTAATCATTCAAAATTGTACAACAAAATGATGTGAATCCACATACTATTGCCTATTATTTTAATCATACTAAAAGGATCCCCGATATCGATGAATTACAAATTATAAATGAAGTGGATGAGGAGAATCAAAGAATCATATAGAATTTAGTGATAGATTAAACAACTTTATTGCACTAATCGAATAGATATTAATGTTTTCTCAATCATCCAAATGAGCAATAAGTGATGTATGTTTTAACTGAAGAAGAAATCATTATTAATTAGATAAGAAAATAAAGAAAATAATCACAAAGGATGATAGTACGGAAATATAAAAAATTTTGTGCCAAAAAACTTTGAACATGCTTGAGAAACTAAAAATATTTAGCTTCAATAAGGCAATGTTCATGCTAGCGAGTAATCTATCCGCAAATTAAAAGTTGAAGTAATCTACCCGCAAGTTAAAAGTTAAAAGTTCATGCTAAAATCAAATTTTATCTAATAGTTTGAATGGACTCAAATAATACTATTTGAATTTGCATATCAAGGTATCTAAATATAGTGACATTATAAGAATAAGAACTAAGTATAAAAAGCAATTTGCCCATTCACTATCCATATTTTCAGCAACTCCTTTCATTCAACCAACCTCATTCATAACCACAAACTATTTCCATCAATCCTAATTCATATATATTAGATAACCTCAAAACAATGAAGCATTGAAAGCATCAAAACACGAAATAATTTAAATTAAATTGAAAACAAAATGGGTACAAAGTTTGTTGCATTATTTTTTATGTGCTGTATTATTATTGTTGTAGTGAATGCTCAAGATGATTTCACGGCTGGCTTCCAGAGTTGCCTCAAAGTTTGTCAAAGGGAATGTTTAGCCGAATCGCACCCCAAACCTTTCTGTGAGATAAAATGTAATGGCGAATGCGGGGCTCGGCAAGCTGCCGGTATGTTATTTGTAGATGTTTTGATCTTTTTAAAAACTCAATAAAAGTACAATCATAAAAAAATTTCAGTTCTTAAAGCGAAAAATCTGATTAATGTTTTGCCTTTTAGTATATTTTTATCCTTCCGTACATGTTAAGGGACGAGTGAGGGCTGGTGTCCCTTCCCACAAAAAAAAAAATTATGGGCTCCTTTGTTTTGTTATTCCTATTTATATTCCCAAAATACTTGTTTGGTTTATTATTTGAGAAATACTATTCTATTTTTTTAATTACTTTTAAACCTCTTAAGTTTATTAATTTAATAAAACATCCCTTAAAAAAGTTTAAAAATTAACAAAAACACCCCAATCCACCCATAGTTGTCAAATTCCGACAACCACTGACTTGTCACAACGGCATAGAAACGACCAAAAATAGCCGGTAATTCACCGATCTGGCATTTTCCAGGCAGATCCATACTAGATCTGGCCATCAGGGATGGCCAAATCTGGCCTTTTGCAGTCGTCTATGGCCAGATCTGGCCATAGATTTGGCATTTTTCGGCCAGATCAGTGGTGGATCTGGTCGAAAAATGCCATATCAATGCACGACCGGTCAGATCTGACCTGGTCTACGTCGTAATGCCATTTTTCGGCCAAATTCTGACGGTAGTGGCTAGAATCTGGCACTATGGGTGGGTGGGGGTGTTTTTGTCATTTTACAAAAAATTTATATATTGGGGTGTTTAGTTAAATTAGCAAGCCTAAAGGGTTTTTTGTGAATTTTTAAATTTTATCTCGTAATACTTACCCTATTCAACTACCCAATTTATTCCCAAAATCCTATCCAAAATAACAAAACAAAAGGACCCAGAATTTTGCTTAGATTTATGTTTTGATCTCTCTCACTTACTTTCTTCACACACACACACACACACACACACACACACATATATATATATATATATATATATATAAGGTTACAAAATGACTCATTTAATTTATTTATAATTATATTAGATTATTTGTTTGCAGCCAAATTGGGTTTTGACATGGGTAATGACTGAGGAGAAGAAGATTGCAAAGATTAATCAATTCTTCAAAGACAAATAAAGTTTCATAAGTTGTAGCAATTATATAATTAATGCATTAACTTAATTGCTTAGCTTCAATAAATTTTAGAGATTAATTAATTTTATTACTACAAGGAGGTTATGACTTAATAGAGGTGTAGTAGTAGTATAGTATTAGAATTTCATTCAAAATTCAATTGTCTACTTTTAAAACGGATAAAAGATCATATCTTGAAACCAGCAAGATAAGTCTTGATGGAATTATAAATGCAGTTGCTGCATGACCAAATTGATGTGAAGCCACAAACTCTTGCCAGTTGTTTTAACATTACAAAATTATGCAACAAATTGATGTGAAATCACATACTATTGCCATGTGTTAATCATTACAAAAAATGTACAACAAAATGATGTGGAATCCACATACTATTGCCTATTATTTTAACATTACTAAATTAGGATCCCCGATATCGATGATACAAATATAAATGAAGTGGATGAGGAGAATCAAAGAATCATTATAGAATTTAGTGATCAGATTAAACAACTTTATTGCACTAATCGAATAGATATTAATGGCTTTCCAATCATCCAAATGAGCAATAAGTGATGTATGTTTTAACTGAAGAAGAAATCATTATTACAATTAGATAAGAAAATAAAGAAAATAATCACATAAGGATGATAGTACGGAAATCAACTTATAAATTTCACCCAAAACGTCTCTGTTTTGTGGCTAGAGGATTTATTTAATTTTTTCCTATTGAAATAATTTTAAATAATTTCATCCGGATTTTTTACAAGGTATAAAAAAAAAAAAACCTCTGTGATCATCAAAAGTTCTTATAAAAACATCAAAGAGTCTCATTTTAAGCAATCTCACAGGAGAAAATGAAATAAACACGTATCCAAAGCTTGAAAAGTAACAAATGTTATTTCATTTTGTTCAGCTTCCGAACAAGCAGCATTTGCTCCACCACCATCGGACGAACTGGCAACTCCACCAGAGGAATCAGAAGCCCCCACAACCCCCACCAGAATCAGGCCAGTCTTCACACCACCGTCATCTACGTCCGCCTCCCTTCCACCCTACACATCCCCACCAGCAATTCTGCTACTAGTTTTAGGAATCTTGATTTCCAACGGTTATTAAATTTCTTCCAAAGTATTTCAACTCGCTTTAATGTGCGAAAATTCTGTATTTTATCAGTTGATGATTTGTGGTAATTAAATCGAATTTGGCCCGCCCTTCTCTTTCCAAAGTGTTCCACAGCCCTAAAGATTCTAGACAGGTTCAAATTCTCTAGTTTCTCGTTCATGCAACTTCTTTGGGCAAATTGCTCAGGAAAATTGAACTAGAATTGGTGGGGTGCGCCAGGCCCGAGCAGTAGTGCAACGCAAAGGCGACACTCGAGGGCTCCAGTGGCAAGCCACTGTAGTGAACCCTCCCCCTTAAAAAAATAAATTTAATATCATGTGGGACATTGTCCCACGTATCAGATATTAAACTGATAAGAACAGATACTACACTTGATCTTAGCCAAAAGGCCGAGAAAGGTATGAGTTGGTCAGGGGAAGGCCGCCTATTTTATACTCATTTCCTCGGCCCGCCTTTCTTCTCTCACTCCATGTGGGACAGTGGGACTCTTGAAATCAAACAGCTTTACTTCAAATAAGTTATACTGAATTGCGTGTCATTATTTGAGCCAGTCAAAACTCTTTCTAAATTTTATATTAAATAAAATAAAATTAAACACACATTTTATTCTAAATTTTATCTAATAGTTTTAACGGACTCAAATAATACTATTTGAATTTGCGTATCAAGGTATCTAAATATAGTGACATTATAAGAATAAGAAATAAGTATACAAAGCAATTTGCCCATTCACTATCCATATTTTCAGCAACTCCTTTCATTCAACCAACCTCATTCATAACTACAAACTATTTCCATCAATCCTAATTCATATATATTATATAACCTCAAACAATGAAGCATTGAAAGCATCAAAACACAAAATAATTTAAATTAAATTGAAAACAAAATGGGTACAAAGTTTGTTGCATTATTTTTTATGTGCTGCATTATTATTGTTGTAGTGAATGCTCAAGATGATTTCACGGCTGGCTTCCAGAGTTGCCCTCAAAGTTTGTCAAAGGAATGTTTAGCCGAATCGCACCCCAACCCTTCTGTGAGATAAAATGTAATGGCGAATGCGGGGCTCGGCAAGCTGCCGGTATGTTATTTGTAGTGTTTTGATCTTTTAAAAAACTCAATAAAAGTACAATCATAAAAAAATTTCAGTTCTTAAAGCGAAAAATCTGATTAATGTTTTGCCTTTTGTATATTTTTATCCTTCCGTAAATGTTAATAAAAACACCCTAGAAAAAGCAGTTTAAAAAATATAAACACCCTCACCCATCCATAGTTGTCAGATTCCGGAAACCACTGACTGTCACAACAACGTAGAAACGCCAAAATAACCGATAATCACCGATCTGGCGTTGACTGACAACGACGACCATATCATGACGTCACTGATGCCAATCGGCATTTTGCGGTCGTTGAAGGCCAGATCTACGACAGATTTGGCCTTCGATGACCGCAAAATGCCTGATTTGGATCAGTGGTGGATCTAGTCGAAAAATGTCATACGACGCACAACCGACCAGATCTGACTGGTCTGCGTTATAACGCCATTTTTCGACCAAATTCCGATGGTGGTGGCCAGAATATGGCACTAGGTGGGTGGGGTGTTTTTATTATTTTACAAATTTATATATTGGGGTGTTTAGGAAATTAGCAAACCTAAGGGTTTTTTGAATTTTTAAATTTACTCGTAATACTCACCTTATCAACTACCCAATTTATTCCCAAATCATCCAAAATAACAAAACAAAACAACCCAAATTTTGCTTAGATTTCTGTTTTGATCTCTCCACTTACTTTCTTCGTGTATATATAATATAAGTTACAATCTGACTCATTAATTTTTTATAATTATATTAAATTATTTGTTTGCAGCCAATTGGGTTTTGACATGGGTAATGACTGAGGAGAAGAAGATTGCAAAGATAATCAATTCTTCAAAGACAATAAAGTTTCATAAGTTGTAGCAATTATATAATTAATGCATTAACTTAATTGCTTAGCTTCTAAATTTTACTCCTAGTTTTAGAATATGTATAGGTTTTTTCTTGTATGAACAATGTTACGTTTAAAACTAAATTAAGTCATACAAACAAAAAAAAAACAAAAGATATAATCGTCATTTTATATAATTTTGTCAATTTTGTTGTTTATATGAACAACTGTAAACAAAACATTATTGATCTTGTATAATGTATTATATTGTTAGCCTTATGAAAATATACGATTACTATGAATTATGATGATGATTTTTAGTAGATAAATAAATAAATCACTAATTGATACTTGCTATAACTTATAAAATTTGATGCCGATTATAAATTGTTTTATATATCAATTAATAACACAATTTTTTTTTTTATAAAAATTAAAAAATATAGTAAAATTGATTAAAAAAAAAAAAACTAAGGTTAAAACATAAAATGACTTATAATACGTATATATTATATTTAAAAAAAAATTTAAAAGCAAATTTAAACACCTACTCAATATCTTCAAAATTTTATTTTTTCATAATATATGCAAATACGTTCTCAATTTTTGAAAATATAGAGTTTAATTTCTAATTTTTATTACATAAAAATCATTTCCTTAATTTTATTTTTTGCTGGGCCTGGGACCCGTTGAATTCTAAACGGGGCCTGTAAAAGGACTCTCTTGCACGGCCCATTATGGTTGTATTCGCGGTATAACGCAAAAACCCTAAACCCGATAAGCTGAGAGAACTCAGATCACTGACTGTGCAAGCTAAGAACTTTCACGGAGGTAATCCCTCTAACTCTGTTTTTCATTTTCCTTTAATATCATTTTAAAATTCATGTGCCATTTTAAATCTGTAATCGATAGTGAAATGAGAAATCAGTGGCTATTTATTTATTATTTTTTTTTTCAATTTTATAATGAATTGCGTGATTTAGAATTTTTGAGCTTTTCCGGGGAATTGGGTTCATTGTTAAAGTGAGAGCACATAATAAAAATGATTTTTGGGTCAATTTTTTTGATAATTTTTGAGAATTGTGATGAGAATTTTGATTGGTGGTGATACGTGCAGGTTTGTTTTAAAAGAGTATTGATCACTTGCTTGGATTGTAATGGGTTGGAAAGCTGCTGAGAAACTCATTAGGCACTGGAAAATACTCAGAGGAGATAATGTGAGGAGGAGATTATAATACATTTTTATTATCTTCATTTTATATTATTTTATCTTTCAATTTGATGATATGCATATTTTTTTTTTCCATCTTTAATCATAGGTTATGATAATCAGGGGAAAGGATAAAGGAGAGACTGGTACTGTTAAGCGTGTCGTTAGATCTCAAAATCGTGTTATTGTTGAAGGGAAAAATCTGGTGAGAAACTCTAATTTGGAGTCATGTTCTTGTTATTCATATATGCTGTTATTGCTGTAATTTTGTCTTTTGTCTTTTTTTTCTTTTTTTCTTTTTCTTTTGTTGTTTTATTAAATGGAAGGTTAGGGAAAAAGGGGGCGGTGGTAATTGCATATTTTTTTTCTTTATTTGAGCATTCTTAAGTTGCTGAATGTTTAATTTCATTTACCGGTCACATGAATGTTCACAATGAAGAGTTTAATGGAACATCTCATAAATCTTTTCTTTGTGTCAATTCTATAAATTCTTGTTGGGGTAGTGCTGTGTAATGTGTTCCAACTTTATTTTATGCTGTACTATTGTTTAAGTAGTGGAGTGTAATTAACAATGTTTTCAGGCTCCGGAATAAACATGCTAATATGCTGATTTTCAAATTAAACAGTTGATATTTTCCAACTATGTCTATCTCCTTTAAGTTAATAACTTCCAGTGTACTGAACATTTAATTGGGTTTTTGTTCAGTTTTACGCTGTTGATTAACTTTTCATTAAGGTCATTACCCCTCCATCGCAAGGAGGCAAGTTGCATGATCATATATTTATTTCATTGTAACAGAAACCTCATAAAATTAGACAATCTGTGCTTCATAAATTTGTTCTTTTTTATACCCAAAACCCCTCAACTTTTCCTGCATGGTTGCCGAGGTCTAAATTAAGGCGTAATCCCAAATCCTACAACCTTGGTAGCTAAGAAACTTTTAGGATATAATAGCCCAAGTTGGTGGCACCAAGTAGTTTAAACCAAGGGCTTGTACCATTAAGCCTTGGGTTATTTTGTGTGATGCTTTTCTTATTGCATTTGGAACTGGATTTATTTCCAGTAGTAAAATCTGCAGCTGACAAACAATAGCATCATGACATTCTGATGCAACTTAGGGACATAAATGATCATTGCAGCAATTACTGAAATATTTATACTAGACAAATAGTAGAATTGACAAACAATCATCCGCTTTCTTGTTTTGCATTCCCTTCATGTTGTTAATATGATTCGATTGTATTAAAATGACTTACTTTTTGGAAGAGACTAAACTATGGCTAGTTGCACAAGAGTTTTGTTAAGATCCCACATTGAAAGGGAAGAGGGTGGGCATGTGGGTTATAAAGAGCTTGGGCACCCTCCCTTGGCAAGCTGGTTTTCCAAGGAGAGTTCTACCCAAGCCTATAAAAGACCCATGGCCTAGCCCAATTGTTGAGTTATTGAATTGAGTTCCTATCAATTGGTATTAGAGCATGATCCTACGCCTACGTGGCAAGCTGACGTTGGGCCCGGGCTGCTACCCCGAGAAAAGGCATGGAGGCCCAAGGGAAAGGGGATTTGTGTAGTCACCCAAAGGGTAAAAAGGCCGATGGGGGTAAAGAGGCTAACATGGATGTCGGCTACTGAAGCGTGGTGGTGTGTTAGGATCCCACATTGCAAGGGAAAAGAGTGGGCATGTGGGTTATAAAGGGCTTGGGCACCCTCCCTTGGCAAGCTGGTTCTCCAAGGAGAGTTCTACCCAAGTCCATGAAAGACCCATGGCCTAACCCAATTGTTGAGTTATTTGAGTGAGTTCCTATCAAGTTTAAAATATGATTGTCCTTCAGCACTTCATAGATTTGTAGTTTAAATATAAATATTCACTCACAAAAGCGTTTTCTCATTACCTTCCAAGCAAAAATAAAAAAATAACTATGAGATATTTCGTTCTGCCAAGTATAAAAGATTTTGCTATATTCTTTTGTCTATATAATTGTGTTGCTGTCCTTTTTGTTTTAAAATTTCTTGTGTATGCATGCTCATTATTTGTTAGAATGTAAATTATGACTCCTAATGTTTCTGTGAATAAGCATAGATTTCATGTAATTATGATGTGTACATGACACAAAGGTTGGGTTGTTTGACTAATCTTATTTTTTTCCCTGATTGCTATTTTGTGGCTATGTATGCAGGTGAAAAAGCATATCAAGGGAGGAGAAGTTCACGCAGGTGGGATCTTTACAGTTGAAGCCCCACTTCATGTCTCAAACGTTCAAGTTCTCGACCCAGTCACAGGGTATGGTTCTACCTTTTATCTGATTTGACAATCATGATGTTAATTGTGGCCTTGTGATATGCTTTTTCAAACAAATGACAATTGATGGTTGTGCATTGGTGCAGGAAGCCCTGTAAGGTTGGAAGTAGATATCTAGAAGATGGAACTAAAGTAAGAGTAGCTAGAGGTATAGGAGCATCTGGTTCAATAATTCCTCGTCCTGAGATTCTAAAGATAAGGACATCACCAAGACCTATAGTTGGTACTGAGCTATTTGTTTCAACCTTTCTTTCCTGTGCCAACAAATTGATTTTTTTTTTTTTTTGTTTTTGTGTGTGTGTGTGTGTGTGTGTTTTGTTTTAATTTGAACTAGTTTTTTTATCACTGGTGTTGCATGCAATTTATTACACTTGGCTGTTGTGCATGATAATCTTTTTGGATCTTGCATGAGGTCTGTCATTTTTCTGATCATATCAAATGGACGATCCAACAATCGTTAGCGTTTAAATAGACAGTGCAAAATATTTGATAAAATTATATGTTGATTTTATTTGCAATAGATTAGATATTTCAGGTTACTTGTATTTGTATACCCTTGAAATTTTACATAAAAGGTTAAAACAAAATTGAGCAGCTTAGTTTGGAATGGACATAAAGTTGAAAGCATGTGCAATTTGGATTAAATTTGAACTATCTCATTTAAGAATAAACTTATCAAATGTGTATCTACAATCTCATTATGATTTATGAAACAAAATAGTTTTCCTGAAGAACCTAGATTCATAAGTTTCAATTGTCCCTCTTCAAGGCACCATAACTTTGATCACTCATTATGCTAAAAACTTTGAAACTTGCTTATAGAAATAATCTGGTTTTTTGCTTTTGGTTTCATAGGATAATCAAATAGGAAATTCTACTCTTAGCTTGGTCATCATCGATTATGCTGTTAGTTGGCTTTCGGGGCTTTGCACCGTTTAAAAATCTCTACCTAAGTGCTATAGCCATAAGCATATTGGATGCAATTTAGTTAGGAATTCAATAAGCTTGGAATTCTGGCAACACGAACAATAGGTAACAAAATAAAAACTTGAGTAGAATCAGGATCAAACCTTAATTGAAGTTGTTTTTACAAGTTGACTAGCTACTTTGCATGTGACATTATATTCTTGCCTATTGTCTCATTTACTTTGGCTTATTTTTATTTCTCTTTTTTTGGCAGCTGGTCCAAAAGATACTCCAATGGATCTTGTGCTGGATAAGACATACGATGCTAAAACTGGAAAGGGCATGCCTGACCTTTGAAACGCCTTGTTGAGTTTCTTGAGACATAAAATGTGTTAATCAAAGCTGTTGAGAAAATATGGGTGCATTAGAGTCCTAAGTATGCCCAGGACAAATTATAATCTCGCACCTGCATCCTAGATGTATTCTGTTTGGCACATTTTGCAAGTGAATGCCTAGAAATTGATTGGATTTTGCAGGTTTAATATGTTTCGGTTAGCCTTTCAATCATCAGAATATGCACAAACTTTGCAGTGACTGCCATATTTTCATGAACAATGGATCAGCTACACACGGACAGAAACATATTTCTGGCTGATGTTCTCTAAAATAGGATTAGACAGGATTGATTTGTAATTATATTTAGATGCATGATCTGGTGTTTTATCTTATCTCCGTTGTCTAATCTTCATAAAAGTTGGACAATTGTTTTCGCCTTGTTCGTGCTTCTGAGGAATACCTGATTATAACTATTACTTTCAAGTCTTCAAAGGAGCTAAATAATCCAGAACTGGAAGTATCAAATCTCAAGTTCAACCAATTAAAGAATGTCTGTTTTGAGTTCAGGTCTGCACGGTTTTGTATTTAGGTTTTATGCCATCGTCTTTCATCCCCAATGTGTTTAAAGGAATCAATCCTTATGAATTCATTCTGAACTGATGGTTAAGAGCTTAATTTTGACGTCTTAAGTCATACGGCCATTTGTACTGAAATAAGAATATCAGAAAAAGAGAGCGGCTAGAGCCCACTCGGTAACTGATGGTCAAATTTAGTTCATTTAGATTCTGGAACAACTTCAACTCTTGTCTACTAGTTTCATTGTCCGTAACGTCACGTGAACATCCCATCGAATTTCGGCTTTTGCTCCTAAATTAAAACCATAATGAACAAAACACTGAAAGTGCTAGACTACTGTCAGTTGGGGTCATCTTGATTCTTGTCATTTGCAGTGATAAGCGGCGATTGAGCCCTCACCATGCTCGACACGTCAGGTGGACACTCGTCTATGTGCATGCGCTCTCTCGCCTATTCTAATTCAATTTCCTTTTATCTTCTTATTGCCCTATAAATAATCCCTATCTAATTCTCTTTTTCTTCATCAAGAAATAGCGATAATGGGTTCGCGAACAAAGTTTTGTTTAACTCTTTTTCTCGTTTCTGTTTTGATTCTGTGTGCCGGTTTAGCTTTGGCTAAGACAGACCCAGAGCTGAAACAATGCAAGCACCAGTGCAAAGTCCAGAGGCAGTATGACGAGGAACAGAAGGAGCAGTGTGCGAAAGGATGTGAAAAGTACTACAAAGAGAAGAAAGGACGCGAGCAAGAGGAAGATGAAGAAGAAGAATGGGGAAGCGGTCGCGGTCGGGGTGATGAATTCAGCACGCATGAACCCGGTGAAAAGCGTTTGAGCCAGTGCATGAAGCAGTGCGAGAGACAAGACGGAGGGCAGCAGAAGCAGCTGTGCCGCTTCAGGTGTCAGGAGAAGGATAAGAAAGAGAGAAGAGAACATAGTTACAGGAGAGACGAAGAAGAGGAAGAGGAAGGCGATGAGGAACAAGAGCAAGAAGATGAGAATCCTTACGTATTTGAAGACGAACATTTCACCACCAGAGTCAGGACCGAACAAGGAAAAGTTGTTGTTCTTCCCAAGTTCACTAAACGATCAAAGCTTCTCCGTGGCCTGGAGAAATACCGTCTGGCCTTTCTTGTCGCTAATCCTCAAGCTTTTGTAGTTCCAAACCACATGGATGCTGACAGTATTTTCTTTGTTTCTTGGGGTAAGTTTGAACTAAATTTCAGTTGAATTTATGCAGATCATGTTCATCTATATTGCCTTCGTTAATATTTTGCTGATTCTTGTGGGTATTGTAGGACGAGGAACAATCACCAAGATTCGTGAGAATAAGAGAGAGAGCATGAACGTCAAACAGGGAGATATAATTAGGATTCGTGCTGGTACTCCTTTTTATATCGTCAATACCGATGAAAATGAGAAGCTTTACATTGTCAAACTCCTTCAACCCGTCAATCTTCCTGGCCATTACGAAGTATATATAAATTCACTGTCCTTTAGATCTGTAGTTTTCGGGTAGTTTTGACAGAATAACATCTTAAATTTCATGTGATGCAGGTATTTCATGGACCAGGAGGTGAAAACCCAGAGTCGTTCTACAGGGCTTTCAGCTGGGAAGTACTCGAAGCCGCTCTGAAGGTAATTTGCAATTTTTTCTTATCATGCTTAATTTCATAATTGTTTGTTGTTCTGGTTGTTTAATTGTTGATTTTCCCAGACTCCAAGGGACAAACTGGAGAAATTGTTCGAGAAACAGGACGAGGGAGCCATCGTAAAAGCCTCCAAAGAACAAATTCGGGCTATGAGCCGGAGGGGTGAAGGTCCTAGCATTTGGCCATTTACAGGGAAATCAACGGGTACATTCAATCTCTTCAAAAAGGATCCCTCTCAATCCAATAACTATGGCCAACTCTTTGAAAGCGAATTCAAAGATTATCCGCCACTCCAAGAGCTCGACATTATGGTCTCTTATGTCAACATCACCAAGGTATTTAATTTTCTCACTCTGCGTTATTATAATCAAAAGTTTTGGATAATTTTATTGTCTTGAACGGGATATGCAAATGCAGGGAGGAATGTCAGGTCCATTCTACAACTCAAGGGCAACGAAGATAGCCATTGTTGTTTCAGGAGAGGGACGCCTTGAAATAGCCTGCCCTCACCTCTCCTCCTCCAAAAACTCAGGCCAGGAAAATAGTGGCCCGAGTTACAAGAAATTAAGCTCGCGTATCAGAACCGATTCAGTGTTCGTTGTCCCGGCGGGTCACCCTTTTGTCACCGTTGCTTCTGGAAACCAAAACTTGGAAATCCTCTGTTTTGAAGTTAATGCAGAAGGAAATATTAGGTATACTCTTGCTGGGAAGAAGAACATTATAGAGGTGATGGAGAAGGAAGCGAAAGAACTGGCATTTAAAACGAAAGAAGAGGAGGTGGACAAAGTGTTTGGAAAACAAGATGAAGAGTTCTTCTTCCAGGGGCCGAAATGGCGACAACATCAACAAGGGCGTGCTGATGAATGAGAAAGTAAGGAGGAAGAAATGGAAGGTTTTGTTTGTACGTAGTTTGGTTTTGAGAAAGCCTGAGCTGCTGACTACTGTAACGTGTGAAATACGTATGAATAATGTTGAAGGTGAATGTATGTGAATGTAAATCCGGCATAAGCCTATAACTAAATAAAAAAGGGCTTCAGCTAATGAATGTTTCTTCAGTTAATCTCGCATTCTCTTCCTCCATCTTCTTCAGATCAATATTTCTGATTTCAGCCATAACTTTTGACCCATTGATGCTATTGGAAGAATCCTCTCCTGATTTTTACTTGAATAATATACAAAAAATATAAGTATGATTCGATTAGTTCATTAATATATATAAGAATTATAATGATATATTATCAATAATTTTCTTTTAATTTGTAACATATTATTTTTTTTTTCACTCGGAGTGTTCGTGTCAATTTGTACGTATTTCAAGTAATCGTTTTAAGGGTATGAAAACTAATCTTTGAGGTCTTCGTTTTAAGGGCATGAAAACTAATCTTTGAGGTCTTGAAATTATAGTCGTTGAAGTCCTCAAGACTAATATTTGAGGTTTTGAAGTTAAGTGTATGTTAGTTAAGTGTCAGTTTATACGTACTTCGATTAATTATTAAGGTGTTAAAGACTAATCTTTGAAATCCTGAAAATAAGGACTAGATATATTTTTCGATGGTTACCCTTATTAGTAGTTAGAGTAAATCAAATTCAAAACTTTTCAAGTTATATATCCGAGAGTTCCACTTGGTTACCCAGGGATGATTAACCTATCAATTACTTGACCATATAAGTTCCAATTAAAATAGAATCTGCCCTTTAATTGTTATTAAAAACATATGTGCATAATCAAACTATATATTTCAAATAGTAAATATTAATTCATAATTAAGATCACAAATTTGGACATTAATCTAATTTCTTCACTATATCTAAAATCCTCCCTCAATAGTTAATATCAGCCATTGGATTACTCCAACCATGATCCAAACCGTAGACAATCAAATCCAAACCTTTAATTAAAAAAAAAAAAATGCGTTTCATTTTATTTCTTAAAATGGATCAAACCCGTGGGGACCACAGCAGCCTATAAGTACTCATCGGGCAATTGTACACAAACGCGCCATGTAGCACAATCATTCATTTCAGATTCAGACGTACACAACTCAATCACTCGAACTCTCTCATTCTAAAATCTCCCAATTTCAAAACCCTAATCTCGATTTCATCTTTCATATTTCTCGAAAGCTTAATCCTTCACCATGCAAGTGAAGGGTTCCCGCGTTGCGCGGTCCTCCAACTTCGATGACGCCGGCCTTTTCGCCGTCCTAAACCAGTCACCGACATCGCCGTCGTTCGAGCTGCGGCGGGAGCTCCTTATGCCTCCGAAGGTTTCGCGTCGTTCGTCGGTGAGCGAGGAGTCTCCCCCGCGGATTTTGACGGTGTCGTCTCCGGAGGTTGTCAAGGAGAGTTGTTATGGCTATGGTTATGGACAGGGGCAGGGGCAGAATGGGAATTTTCTGGACAAGTGTTACTTTTGCGAGAAGAGGATCCGTCAAAACGCCGAAGTTTTTATGTATGGGTATGATTTTATTTATCAGTGGCTGTGATTATTTGTTTAATTAGTGTTGTTTTATGATTTTACTTCTCTTTTCTATTGATAGTAGTGATTAGTGAAGACGTTCTTGATATTCTCTGTTTGGTTGCCCGGGAACTTAAGAAATGTATTCTTTGGAGTTTCCTTTCGCCACTAGAAAAACGACATAATCAAATTGTAAAACAGAGTAGTCGTTTAATGCACAGTTTCGTGAACACTTAATTATGTAATGTATAGTATTGAAAATGTAATTTCGCGTGCTTACATCTATAGCAGTTGGCCTCCACGGAAATATCTTCTGGGCTATTTAATGCATAAGTGTGAATTGATGCAAGTTCAAACTTATTGTCAGCTATTTTTAGTTTTGATTTTTCAAATTTAGTCAATTGTGTTTTTATTAATAATAATAGTTTTTATAGTCTCAGAATCAGTGCACAAAATATAAGTCAGGCAAAACAAGTTTGACTATTTTTGTATTCTTATCTTTTTACTGATTTTGTAATGAGTAATGCTATACCAAGTTTGTGTCCCAACTTTTTTATTCCAAGTAATATGACACATATTAGTGATCGACATATCATTAACTACACTATTTCATCATCTACATGTCAATTTTAAGATTAATGAAACATCACTTCGGTCACAAAAAAACTTAGTATGTACGTATTATTCCTTTTTCGGGTTGTATACTTGTAATCCACTTCATATTGTTAGAGGTAATCAATTGGGCCAGATTGGGCTGTCTTGGGAAAATTGGACCAATATTGCTTCAGACTGACTCAATTCCTGAGGCCCAATAAAATTAGGTGGGGTGTGCTTTCCCTTTTTTTTTGGGTATTCAGGATTTTGTTCCAGCCCATGAGCTTACACGCTGGCCCCATCCATCAGCTTCTTAGACCCACATGTCTGGTTGTGGCCTGGGTCTAGTGCTGGATTGGCCTGATATCTAACTGACACCTCTCGATAATGTTAGTGCGACCAGCTTATTTTAGTTTCTGTATCTTTTGATTCTAATGTTTATTAGGCTCAATTGGCAGCAACTGTATTGTACAGTTTTCTCGCAAGTTCTTATTGCTAATTAGCTATATCTCAATGCCTCAGCATATGCATTTGTTGGACTACAGAAATCATTATAATTTTTTTACCATTCTGATAATATTGATTACATTAATATAATTTAAAGTAACTTCAATAACCTTTGGTATTGGCAATTTTAGAAGTAAAATACAATTTTTGAGGTTCTGTTAATTCTGTCTCTGGTTTTCTTGAAATTTTGCCGATGTTGAGATTACTTAAGTTGTAATTACTTTTCTTTTGTAGTTATTAGTTATTTGGTAGTATCAGCTTATTGCACAAGTGATGCATAAACAAATTTTATGTCATGGGATAGTGAAAGCATTTTTTTCATGGTCCTCTTGCATTACTGTTGAATTAAGAAATTTAGTATATGTTGACATAGTTGGATGTATACTTCATGTGGTACTGCAGTTCGATGCATGGATTTTGCACCCCAGACTGCCGTGGCAAACAAATTGTTATTGACAGCATGCTGGAAAGGGTTGCTAAACAATTTAGAGGAAAAGCGACTGAATGCAGCAGGATGACTGATGTGAAGGATCATTCTGGTTTTTAGTTGCAAAGCATGCAGCTTGATGATAGTTTCAGATAAGAGTAGTAATTTTCCCTACTTTTTTGGGTATAGCTGTCGGGTTTTTTGAGATGGGCTAGCACCTAGAATACAATGCACGTCTTTGCCATTTCATATCATATTTTCAGCAACTCCTTTCATTCAACCAACCTCATTCATAACCACAAACTATTTCCATCAATCCTAATTATATATATTAGATAACCTCAAAACAATGAAGCATTGAAAGCATCAAAACACGAAATAATTTAAATTAAATTGAAAACAAAATGGGTACAAAGTCTGTTGCATTATTTTTTATGTGCTGTATTATTTGTTGTAGTGATCAAGATGATTTCACGGCTGGCTTCCAGAGTTGCCTCAAAGTTTGTCAAAGGGAATGTTTAGCCGAATCGCACCCCAACCTTTCTGTGAGATAAAATGTAATGGCGAATGCGGGGCTCGGCAAGCTGCCGGTATGTTATTTGTAGATGTTTTGATCTTTTTAAAACTCAATAAAGTACAATCATAAAAAAATTTCAGTTCTTAAAGCGAAAAATGATTAGTTTGCCTTTTAGTATATTTTTATCTCCGTACATGTTAAGGACGTGAGGGCTGGTGTCCCTTCCCACAAAAAAAAAATTATGGCTCCTTGTTTGTTATTCCTATTTATATTCCCAAAATACTTGTTTGGTTATTATTTGAAATATTCTTTTTTTTAATACTTTTAAACTCTTAAGTTATTAATTAATAAAACATCCCTTAAAAAAGTTTAAAAATTAACAAAAACACCCCAATCCACCCATAGTTGTCAAATTCCGACAACCACTGACTGTCACAACGGCATAGAAACGACCAAAAATAGCGGTATATACACGATCTGGCATTTTCCAGGCAGATCCATACTAGACTGGCATCAGGATGGCCAAACTGGCCTTTGCAGTCGTCTATGGCCAGATCTGGCCATAGATTTGGCATTTTTCGGCCAGATCAGTGTGGATTGGCGAAAAATGCCATATCAATGCACGACCGCGTCAGATCTGACCGTCTACGTCGTAATGCCATTTTTCGGCCAAATCTGACGGTAGTGGCTAGAATCTGGCACTATGGTGGGTGGGGGTGTTTGTATTTTACACAAAAATTTAATATTGGGGTGTTTAGTTAAATTAGCAAGCCTAAAGGGTTTTTGTGAATTTTTAAATTTTACTCGTAATACTTACCTATCAACTACCCAATTTATTCCCAAAATATCCAAAATAACAAACAAAAGGACCCAGAATTTTGCTTAGATATGTTTTGATCTCTCTCACTATTTCTTCACCACACACAACACACAAACACAACATATATATTATATAATATATATAAGGTTACAAAAGACTCATTAATTTATTTATAATTATATTAGATTATTTGTTGAGCCAAATTGGGTTTTGACATGGGTAATGACTGGGAGAAGAAGATTGCAAAGATTAATCAATTCTTCAAAGACAAATAAAGTTTCATAGTTGTAGCAATTATATAATAATGCATTAACTTAATTGCTTAGCTTCAATAAATTTACTCTTTAAGTTTTAGAATATGTATAGGTTTTATCTTGTATGACAATGTTATGCTTAAAACTAAGTCTACAAACAGACAAAAAACAAAAGAATAACGTCATTTTCATCAATTTTGTCCATTTTGTCTGTTTTATGACTCAATGTAAACAAAACATTATTGATTCGTATAATGTATTATATTGTTAGCCTTATGAAAATATACGATTACTTATGAATTAGATGATGATTTTAGTAGATAAATAAAAAATCACTAATTGATTTGCTATAACTTATAAAATTTGATGCTGATTATAAAATTGTTATATCAATTAATAACACAATTTTTTTATAAAAATTAAAAAATATAGTAAAATTGATAAAAACAAAAAAAACTAAGGTTAAAACATAAAATGACTATATATAACGTATATATTATATTTTAAAAAAAATTAAAAGAAATTTAAACACCTACAATATCTTCAAAATTTATTTTTTCAATATATGCAAATACGTTCTCAATTTTGAAAATATAGAGTTTAATTCTAATTTATTACATAAAAATCATTTCCTTAATTTTATTTTTGTTGGGCCTGGGACCCGTTGAATTCTAAACGGGGCCTGTAAAAGGACTCTCTTGTACGGCCCATATCGTTTATTCGCGGTATAACGCAAAAACCCTAAACGATAAGCTGAGAGAACTCAGATCACTACTGGGCAAGCTAAGAACTTTACGGAGGTAATCTCTCTAACTCTTTTTGATTTTCCTTATATCATTTTAAATTCATGTGCCATTTTAAATCTGTAATCGATAGTGAAATGAGAAATCAGTGGCTATTTATTTATTTATTTTTTTCAATTTTATAATGAATTGCGTGATTTAGAATTTTTGAGCTTTTCGGGGAATTGGGTTCATTGTTAAAGTGAGAGCACATAATAAAAATGATTTTGGGGTCAATTTTTTTGATAATTTTTGAGAATTTTGATGGTGGTGATACGTGCAGGTTTGTTTTAAAAGAGTTTGATCACTTGCTGGATTGGAATGGGTTGGAAAGCTGCTGAGAAACTCATTAGGCACTGGAAAATACTCAGAGGAGATAATGTGAGGAGGAGATATAATACATTTTTTATCTTCATTTAATTATTTTATCTTTCAATTTGATGATATGCATATTTTTTTTTTCCATCTTTAATCAAGGTTATGATAATCAGGGAAAGGATAAAGGAGAGACTGGTACTGTTAAGCGTGTCGTTAGATCTCAAAATCGTGTTATTGTTGAAGGGAAAAATCTGGTGAGAAACTCTAATTTGGAGTCATGTTCTTGTTATTCAATATGCTGTATGTGTAATTTTGTCTTTGTCTTTTTTTCTTTTTCTTTTGTGTTTTATTAAATGGAAGGCTGGGGAAAAAGGGGGCGGTGGTAATTGCATATTTTTTTTCTTTATTTGAGCATTCTTAAGTTGCTGAATGTTTAATTTCATTTACCGGTCACATGAATGTTCACAATGAAGAGTTTAATGGAACATCCTAAATCTTTTCTTTGTGTCAATTCTATAAATTCTTGTTGGGGTAGTGCTGTGTAATGTGTTCCAACTTTATTTTATGCTGTACTATGTTTAAGTAGTGGAGTGTAATTAACAATGTTTTCAGGCTCCGGAATAAACATGCTAATATGCTGATTTTCAAATTAAACAGTAGATATTTTCCAACTATGTCTATCTCCTTTAAGTTAATAACTTCCAGTGTACTGAACATTTAATTGGGTTTTTGTTCAGTTTTACGCTGTTGATTAACTTTTCATTAAGGTCATTACCCCTCCATCGCAAGGAGGCAAGTTGCATGATCTATATATATTTCATTGTAACGAAACCTCATAAAATTAGACAATCTGTGCTTCATAAATTTGTTCTTTTTTATACCCAAAACCCCTCAACTTTTCCTGCATGGTTTGCCGAGGTCTAAATTAAGCGTAATCCCAAATCCTACAACCTTGGTAGCAGAAACTTTTAGGATATAATAGCCCAAGTTGGTGGCACCAAGTAGTTTAAACCAAGGGCTTGTACCATTAAGCCTTGGGTTTTTGTGTGATGCTTTTCTTATTGCATTTGGAACTGGATTATTTCCAGTAAAATCTGCAGCTGACAAACAATAGCATCATGACATTCTGAGCAACTTAGGGACATAAATGATCATTGCAGCAATTACTGAAATATTTATACTAGACAAATAGTAGATTGACAAAACATACTGCTTTCTTGTTTTGCATTCCCTTCATGTTGTTATATGATTCGATTGTATTAAAGACTTACTTTTTGGAAGAGACAAACTATGGCCAGTTGCACAAGAGTTTGTTAAGATCCCACATTGAAAGGAAGAGGGTGGGCATGTGGGTTATAAAGAGCTTGGGCACCCTCCCTTGGCAAGGTTTTCCAAGGAGAGTTCTACCCAAGCCTATAAAGACCATGGCCGCCCCAATTGTTGGTTATTGAATGAGTTCCTATCATTGGTATTAGAGCATGATCCTACGCCTAGTGCACGTGCAAGCGCTTGGCCTGGCTCCAGGTACCCGAGAAAAGGATGGCGGCCAAGGAAAGGGATTTGTGTAGTCACCAAAGGGTAAAAAGGCCGATGGGGGTAAGAAGGCTAACATGGATGTCGGCTACTGAAGCGTGGGGTGTTTAGGATCCCACATGCAAGGGAAAGAGTGGGCATGTGGGTTATAAAGGGCTTGGGCACCCTCCCTTGGCAAGCTGGTTCTCCAAGGAGAGTTCTACCCAAGTCCATGAAAGACCCATGGCCTAACCCAATTGTGAGTTATTTGAGTGAGTTCCTATCAAGTTTAAATATGATTGTCCTTCAGCACTTCATGATTTGTAGTTTAATATAAATATTCACTCACAAAAGCGTTTTCTCATTACCTTCCAAGCAAAAATAAAAAAATAACTATGAGATATTTCGTTCTGCCAAGTATAAAAGATTTTGCTATATTCTTTTGTCTATATTGTGTTGCTGTCCTTTTTGTTTTAAAATTTCTTGTGTATGCATGCTCATTATTTGTTAGAATGTAATTATGACTCCTAATTTTCTGTGATAAGCATAGATTTCATGTAATTATGATGTGTACATGACACAAGGTTGGTTTGTTGACTAATCTTACTTTTTTCCCTGATTGCTATTTTGTGGCTATGTATGCAGGTGAAAAAGCATATCAAGGGAGGAGAAGTTCACGCAGGTGGGATCTTTACAGTTGAAGCCCCACTTCATGTCTCAAACGTTCAAGTTCTCGACCAGTCACAGGGTATGGTTCTACCTTTTATCTGATTTGACAATCATGATGTTAATTGTGAACTTGTGATATGCTTTTTCAAACAATGACAATTGATGTGTTCGCATTGGTGCAGAAGCCCTGTAAGGTTGGAAGTAGATATCTAGAAGGAACTAAAGTAAGAGTAGCTAGAGGTATAGGAGCATCTGGTTCAATAATTCCTCGTCCTGAGATTCTAAAGATAAGGACATCACCAAGACCTATAGTTGGTACTGAGCTAAATTTGTTCACCTTTTCTTTCCTTGTGCCAACAATTGATTTTTTT